CGTTAGACTCTGCTAGCTGTTCCTTGGGTTGACCGCCTGCATTGCACAGGAGAAATGCCGTCCGTACATACTAGTCAGTGATCTTGTAGTAGTTACCTTTCTTTGGTTGTGACAAAGCACTGTGACCAAGGCAACTTATAGAAGGGTTTATGGGGGGCTTATGGTTCCAGAAGGCTAAAAGCACATCACCATCATGACAGGGAAGTATGGGTAGCGTGCAAGCATGGAGGCTGGGACTGGAACCTGTGAGCTGAGGGCTCACATCACAAACTACCAACAGGAAGCCAAGAGAGCAAACCTGAGATGGCGCATGACCTTTGAAACCCCAAAGCTTACTTCCAGCGATGTACTTCCTCTAGCAAGGCTTTCTAAGCCTGCCCAAATAGAGCCACCAAGTGGGGACCAAATGTTGCAATGCCAGGGAACCTGGAGGGCATTTCCCATTCAAACCCCCACAGGAATTTAGGGCATGACGATTTCAAGAGTGAATTATACTTTTAATTGTGACAAATAGACATGCCAGAGAATTTGCCACCATAGCCACGTGTAAATGTTTGGTAATGTTAAGTACATTCCCCTCTTGTCTGACCAGCATCCAGGATGGCTCGTCATCTTCTAGAGCTGACACTCTACACCCATTTTCCATTTAGATCATTTTCTCCCGCTTCTCATCTCCCTCACCTGTGGAGCATGAGGCTGTTTCCTTCTTTCATCTCGTATCATATCTTTGTGCATTCATCCCAGGGGAAGCAAGCAAGCCTGGGGACATGGGATGCACCTAGTGCTGGGCTATTCTCAGACTGACAAGGAGTCACAGAAGATTCTAAGTCAGGGACTGGTCGTGTGTTCTACCCGGTGCTCATATTGATGCCTATGGGTTCTGCCTTCTCTGTTGATGCAGCAGACCGGAGCATCACTGAGAAGTGCCCTGTTGTATTATTGTCTTACTTAAGTAATTAAAAAATTTGATACATAGTAGTACATGATATAGTTCAGTCTGGCCTGGAACTTGTGAAAACCAGGCTCATCTCCAACTTGTAATCCCTCTGCCTCGGTCTCCTAAGTACTGGGATTATAGGCATGAACGCCACTGTCTTAGAGTTCCTATTGCTATGATGAAATACCATGACCAAAAGCAAGTTGGGGAGGAGAAGGTTTATTTGGCTTAAATTTCCTCATTGCTGTTCGTCATTAAAGGAAGTCAGGACAGGAACTCGCACAGGGCAGGATCCTGGAGGCCGGAGCTGATGCAGAGGCCCCGGGGGAGTGCTAGTTACTGGCTTGCTTCCCCTGACTTGCTCAGCTTCTTTTCTTAGAGAACCCAGCATTATCAGCCTAAGGACGGCACCACCCGCAATGGGCTGAGCCATCCCCCATCAATCATTAATTGAAAAAAATGCCTTACAGCGGGATCTTATGGAGACATTCTCTCAACTGAGGCTCCTTCCTCTCAGACGACTCTAGCTTGTGTCAAGTTGGCATGAGTCTAGCCAGCCCACTGACCATGCCTGACTTCATATTCTGTATATTTTAACTTTCTTACATGTATCTATTTATTTTTATTTTATTGTGTACGTGACACACATATGTCCACACTACAGTACATAATGCAGAAGTCAGAGGACAACTTGCAGGAATCTGTTCTCACCTTCCACGGTGTGGGTTCCAAGGTTCGAACTCGGGTCATGAGCCTTAGCGGCAAGTGCCTTTACTCACTAAACCACCTTGTCAGCCTGCTTGTTATTTCTTTAAACCCATGATATTCTTGAATGTCTTGAGGCTTCGGCTGGCATTACAGGTATTTCACACTTGTTTATTTTATGTTTAGGTGCTGGGACAGAACCCAGGACCTCCTGTGTGTCATGCCATGCTGTCTCATTGAGTAACCCCTGAGCTCCAAATGCACTGCTTCAACAACTCTGTGACAAAGCCCTGCACAACTGATTTTTTTTTCTTTTATAACACGAATCTTCCTTTGGGATTTTCAGGTTTGGAACTGTTGTACACCAATTCAGGCCCAATCCTCACGCTGGGTGTTTCAGGGAAAGAAAATTGAGCTAGAGCCTTTGGGAGGTTCTTGAAATATCCAAACAAGAAAAAATTGTGTGCTCCCCCTACCCCCCAGGGTCAGCAATAGATAATGAAGAACTGACTTCAGGATTGGCCTATGGGTGGATGGTCCAGCATAAAAAAAGGGCAGATATTTTGAAACTTGAAGACAAGGCATTGTGGAGCGGGGCCTGAGAACAGAGCAAGTGAACGTGTTCCCTCTTTTTTTTTTCCGTGTGGGAAAGAATATTAAGTCGCACAAAGATAGATTTTGTTTAACCATAATAGCAGCTTGCAGTGCACAGGGTCCACATTGTGACACAGCTAATTCTATATCACAGAGCTGCCTAGAGTCTGTGCTTGCCTGGTTTGCAGGCTCTCGGTCCTTTGGATTGACAGCTGCACTTGGCCTGAACAGACCCTGGCTTTGCTGTGTGCCATGGCCATCACTTTCCGCTGCTGTTGAGTTGAACATTCAGACGGGCAGCAGCAGGGGGGAAAGCTTTAGTGCTCTTGGTAGGAGGTCCTCTTCCAGAGAGCCTGTGAGCTAAAACCAAGAGGACAAGTAAGAAAGTTCTCACCCCTGCTTCCTCCATCTCCTATAGCTGTCACCATCCTTATCACCTCCCGCCAAATCTCTCAGAGCCCTGGTTTGGCTCTGGTACAAGAGAGGAACCCAAGCAGGCTGTTCTGACCTGGGGGCCTCACATCCAATGGGTCTTCTTTGTTCGTGAGATCCCAGTTCCTCTGCCTTATGATTTCTCCATTGGTTCTTCTCGGAAGACCTCCCAGAATGTCTCGATGGTGAGGTGCTTCTGAGCAGAGGCATATTTGTGCCTAAGTTGGGCTTGTGCCACCATGATGAAATACCTAAAACGAGAACTGTATTGAGACTGTTGAGCTCGCAGTTTGGGAGGCTCAGGTTCGATTCTGGCAGACCCACAACTTCATCACAAGATGACCACTGTGGGGCAAATGTTGATGCTCAAAGGCAGAGAGAGCAAGCTAGGGGACCCACAGCCTTCCCCAAGCACTTAAAGGCCTCTCAGTAGCGCTACCCCCTTACACCACCCTGGAGCCAAGTCTTTGTGTAACTGTACTGGGGGTATCAAATGGCTACAAAGGAGGTGGGGGCTTGAGAAGAACATGTCCCTTTCTGTCGCCATGATATGGTTCAGCGGCAGCCTTTGGTTAGAGTGAGGACTTAGGGGAACACAGGAAGAGGTCAACAATTTGGCTGGATGACCCTGGTTATGAATCAGGGTGTTGCTAACTGGCTCTGAGTCTTTAATATGTGCCTTCCCCCACAAGAGCCCGTCTCGTCAGTGGGAATGATGCAGATGCCAACCTTCGGGAGTGGCAGAGAGGGAGAAGATGACATGGGCTGGGCTATTGCTAGTGGCTGTCCCCTTTGCCGTCGGTCCTTCTGATGACAGCCTTTGGTGGGAGCTTTGACTTTTCTGCCAGAATTACCTGACATCCATTACTTTGTTTCAAAATCACCCACGCTGTCCCTTTTCAACGCTGTTTATCTTTACTTATGAGTATGTCTGCACATGTCACGTATGTGTATCCCATGTATGTGCGAGAACTTATGGAGGCCAAAAGAATGCATCAGATTCCTTGGAACTGGGGATATATACAGATGTCAGACATGGGTGCTGGGAACTGAATTTAGGTCATCTGGAAGAGCAGCCAGTTGTGGCTCAGACATCTCCCCAGCTGCTGTACATTTTAAAAAGAATTACTGCCTTCCCTCTTACATGTAACACACACATATATGTTATATGTGTATATGTGTCATGTATATGTTATATACGTCACATATATGTGTAATATATATATGCACTCATGTGTGTGATTCTAGAATTTTCTATTATATACATTTGGGGAATATGAAGTTTCTTTTAATTAACTCTCTCTCTCTCTCTCTCTCTCTCTCTCACACACACACACACACACACACACACACAAACACACACACACACAGATGTATGTGTGAATACAGGCATGCTTGTGCCACAATCAGGTGCGGAGGTCAGAGGGCAACTTCCAGTTGCTTCTCCCTGCCTACCTTGTTTAAACAAGGTAGGGTCTGTCTTGTTATTTCTGCTTCCCTGAATCCTTCAGGCTAGCTGGATGAGTGCTTCCAAGTGCTTCTCTTGTCTCTGTCTCCCATCTCCTTGCAGGAAAGCAGGGATTACAGATGTGCACTGCCGAATCCGGGTTTTAGGGGTGGTGGTGGTTGATGTGTGTTCTGTGATTGAGTGTGGGCTGTCGGGCTTGTGCCGTTAGCACCTTCACCTGCTGAGCTCTCTCTGACCGGGATTCTGCTTCAGTGAGGATGTTCAGTCTCAGAAAAATTTGTTTTTTGTTTTTTGAGACAGGGCTTCTATGTGTAGCCCTGGCTGCCCTGGGACTTGTTCTGTAGAATAGGCTAGCTTCAAACTCAGAGATCTGTCTGCCTCTGCCTCCTGAGTGCTGGGATTAAAGGCTTGTGCCACTATTTCCTAGATAGCCAACTTTAATAGAATCTGAAAAATGTTCTCATATATATTTTTCTTTAAATCAGATTTTATTGATACTGAGAGTTGAGTTACATGTAATTATTATTTTTAATTTTTCTCATACTAGAAGGATACAAACCACATTTTAATGTTTTTTAAAACCAATATTGTGTATTTTGGAACTGCTTTAGAGATATAGAAAACTGAGCGGGTAGTGTAGTGTTTACATGCACAACTTTTGGTATTTTTAGCATCTTGCATTTACACAGTATGTTTGATAAGGCGTATAGGGCAATATTGACTAATACCTAATCTAATATCCATAGTTCCTGTAGATTTTTTTAGCCTTTATTTAGTATCTTTTCTCTGTTATACGTTACCATCCAGAACATTGCTGTATTTAAGGAACTATGCTTATATCTTCATTTTTTCCTCTGTGAATAGGTATACAACATGTTTCAGCACCAGAGCCTTGGAATTAAAATTAATATTCAAGTCACCAAGCTGGTCCTTCTGCGACAACGCCCGGTAAGTCTGCAGGTGCTCTTCAGAGCACGCAGAGAACTTAATGGGTTTGGAAGTTTCTCCTGACTGCTAGGGAGGGCGTCAGGCAAACTGGCTTGTTCACCCTCCTCGCTTTGAAGATGGCGGCATTGTGAGAGAAGCAAGTCTTGGGGCTAGAACCATGGGCGTACGCATGCTGCTTAGGATCCCGAGGGAATGCTGAGCCATGGGCTCCCACAAGTCCTCTGTTCCTGAAAGGTCTGGCATATGGCTTTCTCACATGAGCAAAGCTGTGGGCGGTCTCAGAAGCATGACTTTCTCCCTGGTGCTGCTGCCACGGTGGAACTCAGCATAGCCCTGTCTTTGCTGTTTCTGCTGAGTGTCTCCCTTCAAGGCAATGCTAGCTACAACAAAGCAAAGCAGTAGGCAGACATCGAGGGGAGTGCTTTTGGTTTAGTAGACTGTTATGTGTCTGAGAAGCAGATTGCTTTGCTTTCATGAGTCATTACTGAACTTGTGGATAAAGTCCTTGGTGGTCTTGGGACCTCCTGGGTATCCTTTGGTTCTCGGCGTTCTTCTCAGGGCAGAGAGAGTCATTGAATTCTATTTTCAAGAGCATCTACCATCACAATCAAGTCTGGGTGGCAGCTTTGGCTCCCTGGATGTCACCGTCTCTCACTACCCTCTTCTGTTTCTCTTAGGCCAAGTTATCCATCGGGCACCATGGTGAACGGTCCCTGGAGAGCTTCTGTCACTGGCAGAATGAGGAGTATGGGGGTGCACGGTACCTTGGCAATAACCAAGTACCAGGAGGGAAGGATGACTCGCCTCCTGTGGATGCTGCTGTGTTTGTGACCAGGTAAGCCCAGAGCCAGCTTTTCTCTGGCGAGCAAGAGTAAAAAGGCAGTAAAAAGGCCCTTTGGAGAGCATGTTAGCAGGACAGACTTGGAGGTCAAACCTGTGCCCACTTGCTTGGGCTTTGGGTGCTAAGCAGTCAAATGGGAGTTATTGTAGGTTCAACCTCTGAGGGCTGAACAAATAATGAGCTATTGTCTATAAGCAGTGCCTAACCCATGGCGTTAGCTGTCATTAGCCCTGTTGGTGGTATTAGAAGAATACTCAAATTCTAGGTAACTGGAGGCGTAGAATGGCCTATAGATGCATGCACTTCTCCCTTACCCCACCCCCCCACCTTCCCTTAGTAGCATGCTAGCAAGAGAGCGTTTGCAGCTGCTGCTGACCGACTTGGACAACCTGTTAGGGAGGAGAGTGGATGCTCTGGGAGGAAGCCTAGGTGGGTCCGTGGGCAACTTGCACAGCCTTGTAAGTCATACCGTCCACAGAACTGTGGCCACCCCCTAGAAAACTCAATCTCTTAGATGCCCATGGATGTCACATAGAGAGTCTGATTGAAGCATGGGTAAAGGTTCTTTCCTGGCCCCAGGACTGGGGCCCAGAAGTACACAGCAGAAACCCAGGGCAGCCTCTAAGCCTCAAGCAACCACATTGCCATACTTTCCTAGTGACACTATAGCCACTGGTCAGAAGCAGGTGACCCTAAATAATGAAGTTTGTCTCCTTATGTTCTGGAGCCTACACGTTGTAAATCTGGATATTGATAAGGTTCCATTCTCCCCAGATCCTCAAGGGGAGTGTCATTCCTTATTTCCTCACTTCTGGTGGCTATTGCCACCCATGAAGACCTTGTAGACAACACACTTGTGTTCCCTTCCACCGTCACATGGCCTGTTTCTTTCTATGTCCAGATTGTCCTGTGTCAGATTATCCCTGTAAGAGGACTTCTTCTTCTTCTCCTCCTTCTTCTACTATTTTTATTTTTCGAGACATTGGAACTCTGTAGGTCAGGTTGGTCTAACAGATCAGAGATCCTCCTGCCTCTGCCTCCCAAGCGCTGGGATTAAAGGTGTGTGCACCACCACACAGTTTGTGACCACTTCTTAACTGGATTATGCCTGCAATGACCCTCTCTCAAAATAAAGTCTCATTAATAGGCACTTAGCCATTTCTGTCTTGGGGACACAATTCTAGCATACATATGTGAACATACACAAACACACATGTGTATTTATACAGACATACATATACACACAGAGAAAGAGAAAGGAAGAGAGAAAGATGGAGAGGGAGAAAGAGAAAGAGAGAGAGAGAGAGAGAGAGAGAGAGAGAGAGAGAGAGAGAGAACATATACTTTGTCATCACCAGGGTGCAGAATGATGCCTGACCCCTCTTCTAGAATGTCCATCAGCTTCTAGCCCCTTGTGTTGGGAGGCCCTCTGTAAGCGTGTGGTTCCCATGAGAACATTTGCTACTTACATGGGATTCGATTAAACGTCTCTTGGGATGTTTTGGGCACTGTCTTCTTTTAAATAATTCCGTGGTTATGATAGGACCATGAGCTAGCATGCCTGCTACAGGTCTGGACTTGCCAACCAGTGAGTGTTGGCACCTCCTGGTGCTCCTCCCTTAGAAGTGCTGGGCACCCGTCTTCCCTAGCCAGAGACTGCCATCACTCCCTTAGGAATGGCATTTGGTGACTATGGGACTTTCTATAGAACCCCTAAGGGCTCTGGTGATAGGGGAGGACAGATGTTTTGAGAGTGAATTCTACTTGGTAAGTGAGCAGAAGTTTAGTGGAGCCATGTTTATGCCTAACCGTAAATTATTATGATTAGTTTCCTACGTGAAATTAATTAGGTCTAATTAAATTAAATCTGAAAATCCTTCCTAGAGAGGAGTTTGTTTTAAACAACTCCAGGATTGAAACTTGCAGCTAAACTTCCAGTGCCCCTACTTTGAAAGTGGTTTTTATAAACACTATAAAACTTGGGAATTCTGGTGTTTATTAAAAATATTATTAACGTAGGGGATTTCCTCCTGACATCAATATCTTAAAATGCGTTTTTGTCTTTCTGCTGTTTTCTTTCACGAGAAGCTAGTGAGCTCGTCTGTAACCTGCCCGTCTTCCTAATGGTGTTCTGAGGTGAGGCTGTTTCAGATGTACTCCTCGGTTTCAAGGATGCAGTGCATCTGTTGCCGCCAAGGTATAGGAGAGCACCAGAGAGGGAAGAGAAAGCACTTGGAAGTGGTCTTGATTTGGAAATGAAAAGCACTTTCTTTGCCCCAGAGAAAATAAATGTCATCAAAATCAAGGTTAGCAAAACATCTGGGTTAGGCATTTTATAAAAACCACAAATAGCCAAGTGTCTTAGTCAGGGTTTCTGTTTCTGCAACGAAACACCACAACCAAAAAGCAACTTGGGGAGGAAAAGGTTTATTTGACTTATACTTCATCATTGCTGGTCAACACTGAAGGAAGTCAGGACAGGAACTCAAACACGGCAGGATCCTGGAGGCAGGAGCTGATGCAGAGGCCATGGAGGGGAGCTGCTTAAAGGCTTTCATCCCTTTAGAATCCAGAACCGGTGGCCCATGGATAACAGCATCCATCATGGGCCAGGCCTCCACCATTTATCAGTAAATGTGAAAATGCCTTACAGCTGGATCTCAGGGAAGCATTTCTTCAGCTGAGGCTCCTTTCTCTCTGATGACTCTAGCTTGGGTCAAGTTGGCACACAAAACCAGCCAGAGTACACCAAGTAAGGTAGTACATGTCTGTTATCCCAGGACTTGGGTGGTAGAGACAGTAGAGTTAGCTGTTCAAGTCCTCTGTGCCTACACACTGTGAGGCCAGTTTAGACTATGTGAGGTCCTGTTTTAACAACGAAATCAACCACAGGGCTAGGAAGATGACTTAGCCAGGAAAGTGCTTGTCACACAAGCATGAAGATCTGAGTTTGATACTCTGGAATTCACGTGAAAGGACTGGGGTCCTTGCTGGGCATTTGTAATCCCAACACTGAGGGCCAGAGATGGTGGCTTTCTGGTTTGTAATCCCAGCACCGAGAGGCAGAGATAAGGGCTTGCTGGTTTGCTTCAGTTTGTTTGAAACTGAGGTTCTGTTTCAGTGAGAGACCCTGTCTCAAAAGACGGAGGTGGAGAGAAATTAAGGAAGATCCAACCATGATCTTCTGGCCTGACCCCACCATGGGTGCGCGCGCGCACACACACACACACACACACACACACACACACTCACACATACATGCCTAGGAGGTACATTTTCTTTTTCTATTTCATGATGCTACCTCGGGGTTGTTGAAGGCATTGTTCCTGCTTCTGTGTAACTGCTCGGTGAATGAATCACTGCTCAGCCATATCCCCAGAGGATGTCCTTGCTAATGTTGACTCTGGCGGGAGCACTGGGGTGGGTGGAAGAGGAGCTGATTGAGGAGCTGTTGGATAACTTTAAACTGGGACTGCGGTTCCTGAGCTTGAGATAATAGCAGACTGGTGTTCTGCAGGGAAATGGGATGCAAGGCAGTCAGTGTCTGCTCTCGAAAGGTATCCTTTCTGTCTACGAGGAAATCCCACAGAGCAGCCATTGTCCACGGGACAGCATTTCTGTGTTCTGGGCTCACATACGGCCAGTGTGAGGATTTTCTTTTCTTTCTCTGTTTTGGTCTGCAGAGCCTGGGAGCCGTTCTCCTGGGCGCTGGCTGCTACAGAGGATGTGAACATGATGTCATGGCTAGCAGAGGAAGTCAGCCTTTCTGCAGCTGTGTGTGTCTAGGCTGTAGACAGCCACCATGCACACTGTGGCTGGAGGCCAACCAAGGCCATACAGAAGACGGGGGCTCCAGCCCTAGTGGCTATACCTTTGGTTCTGCGCTTGACCTAGGAAGATAGGCACACAGAGTTTCTCCCCCAGCCCAGGTCGGTGCTTCTGTAAAGAACATTGGAAAGATACCCAAGCAAACATGCAGGCCTGGCTGAGGGTCATGCTGGGATACCTCTGCAGGTCCCAATCTTCAGCACCCCACAGTCAGTTGCCCCTAACCATTCTGCTTCCTGTTCCGTAGCCTCTTAATCAGAGAACCTAAGCAAAGCAAGGTCAGGAGGCTTACTCTGAAAGTCTAGGGTGTGAGTCCCACCTCATTTCCACATAAATGGTTTGGTTTGGAGTTAAAATCATGATAATAAAGGGTTAAATTTTTTCCCCATAAGAGTGAGTAGTCCTAAAGGCATTTATTTTTCTCTTTGAGTTCTAGATATTTATTGTTCAATTCACAGTGGCGTATGCTTGAATATCGCTGTGAAATGGATTTTAAGTATTCTCACCAATCAACAAACAAACCCAAAACTAGTACCTAAGGTGATGGGCAATTATATTAACTAGATCTGATCATTTCACAATGTATACTTCATTGTAAATACAAATATTACAAATATTGTGTAAACACAAATTTCCCTGTCAATTGATAAATGATAATGTTAAAATAAATTGATCAAAAATTGATAACCTAAAGTATACATATTTGTTATAAAAAACTTAGAAATTTCCAGAGGCTAAACCCATTGAGTGACAGATAACTTGGAGTTATCTTCCCACTTTGTCTCTGGCCACACCTTCTAAGGGTTTCTTCCCTTTTATGCATGCCATCTGCCCTGCATTTCCCCTGCAGGATGCCCAGTGTCCCAAGATGCCCAGTTGTCAGCCTACGCCTGGGAATCTGTGCATCAACATTGTCAAGCAGAATCGTACTATGGGTACGCGTGGGCTGGTTGGATCTCCAGGATCCATGCCTAGCAGCAGTAGGCTGAGGGATGCACATGTGCAGGGTTGGCTCCTTTAATGCACACCACATAAAGGGGAGTAGAGTGGGCTGATGCGTGCAGAGATGGTAACGAATGAGATGGAAGGAGAGGGACAAACTCGCACACTGTTCCCAGTGTCACTGGTACACCACATTTTGCTGTGCGTAGACATGGCTAAGGTGAAAGCGAGAATGTGGACTCGTGGACGCGAGAGTGGAAATGTGGCTGCCTTAGCCAGGGAAGGTCAGCTGGGGCCACGGCTTCCAGCTGCTGTCATACCTGTGATTAGCTTCAGGACAGTTTGGGGATTTATTTATTTATATATTTACACGTAAATGAGTCCTGGCTGCTTTGGGGCTATCTCTCTTTCTTTATCTCCTTCTCCTAGCCAGACGCTGGCCCCACCAGCACTCTGTGGTTGCCTGCTAACTGTGGGAATTTGTGGAGGGGAGCTTGGGCATGTTTGTTGACAGAAAAGCAAGGCCCAGCTCTTCTTTTCATCAAGTGGGTGAACGTGAGCCCTTGGGACATGCAGAGCCAGGGCTGAAGCAGGCTTTGTGCCTTTACTTTTGCATTCACCCTCAACTACACATCTGGGAGTTCTCTGTAAAGTGTAAAAAAGATTGTTAGAAATGGCTTTTTGTTCCCCTCCTGTAGATATAGTCAATGGCCCTTACAGCCTTCCAAGCTGAGTGACTTGGAGAAGCCACTTACAGCTGACGGGTAATTAATTGTCTCTGATCAAAAACACCTTTTCATTTTGCTTCAAACTCTTGAAGGAATAATTTTCTAACAACTAAGTGTGGCGAAGTTAGCTGTAAAAGGGACATCCTGGGCTGGCGAGGTGGCTCAGTGGATAAAGGTATTTACTGCCAAGCCTGGTGCCCTGTATTCCGTTCCCACAACCCACCTGGTAGAGGAAAAGAACTGACTCCCTCGTGCTTTGTCTTAGTTAGGGTTTTATGGCTATGAAGAGACACCATGACCATGGCAACTCTTATAAAGGAAGACATTTAATCGGGGGCTGGCTTACAGTTTCAGAGGTCTAGTCCATTTTTGTCATAGTCAGAAGCATGGCAGCAGATGGGTAGATACGGTAGTAGAGAGGTAGCTGAGGGTTCTACTTCTGAGTCAATAGCCAGTGGGAAGAGAGAGCAGTACTGGACCTGACTTGAGCTTCTGAAACTTTAAAGCCTGCCCCCAATGACACACTTCCTCCAGCAAGGCCACCCTACCCCAACAAGGCCACACCTCCTAATAGTGTGACTTCCTATGAACCTGCGGGGGCCATTTTCATTCAAACAACCACAAAACTTTACATGTTTGCTATGGCCCATGCATGCACACCTCACAGATAAACGTGTCCCCCTCCCCCCCGCAATCTACGATGGGGCTCTTCTATGTGGTAACTAGGTTTACCATTTAGAACTGTCATGGATGGTTTCCTGTTGACAGATATTGTTAATTGTCCAAATAAAAGCGTCAACATTTCAGGAACACTAACCAATATTAGTGTGGGATCTTCCTGTCCTATTCCTGCAGGGTACCATGTCCATCTGACTGTACCTTTTTATCCCCCACCAGGACAGATTTCTGCGTTCACAAGGATGAGCCGTGTGACACTGTTGGTAAGTTCACAGTTGATGATGTGTCGTGGGGCCTCTCGTCTGCAGGAGTCACCCCCATGTCCCCACAGGAGCCTTTGTGTTTCCTGTTGCCTCTCTTCGTGTAAACTGGTTCCTCGGCTGTATTCTGTTCTTTTTGCAGGTAAGTTTTGAGGCTGCCTATGCCAGAAGGCATCTAGATAAAGGGTTAAGAATGTACATAGTTGAACCAAGGGCAGAGCTGCCAGGCATCTCCGGGGTGTCTGGAGCTGAGAGTATGATCGTCTCTAAGCCCACCCTGGTGGTTGGCTTTCTAGTCTCAACAGTGCTGAGATATGCATGCAGTGCTGGAGAACACGGACTTCCTTACCTTCTCTTCCTCCCCTGTCCTCGCCTGCAGGTTTCCTTCCTCTCCTGTGTTCAGTGAAACTTGCATGGCCCTTCCGTTCTTAAGGTTTCATACAGAAGAAACCTTCCTTCTTCCAGACGGTGGTGGCACACACTCCTTTAATCCCAGCACTCGGGAGGCAGAGGCAGGGAGATCCCTGAGTTTGAGGCCAGCCTGGTCTACAGAGCAAGTTTCAGGACAACAAGGGTTACACAGAGAAACCCTGTCTCAAGATCCAAAACAAGGCACACTTTAACCCCATCACTCGGGAGGCAGAGGCAGGTGGATCTCTGTGAATTCGAGGTCAGCCCGGTCTACAGAGCGAGTTCCAGGACAGGCTCCAACGCTACAAAGAGAAACGCTGTCTTGAAAAATCAAAACCAAACCAAACCAAACAAAATAAAAATAAGTCTTTCTTTAGGTGTAGGCAGAGAGTACTTATCTAATAGAGGGAATATCCAGGGTGTCTCCAGCGTCATCTGCCATCACACACGGGGAGGTCCCAAACATTGTATTATCCAAAGAAAAATTATGAATCTCATATGCTCAGATGCTTCAAGTTACAGAAACATTGATGGGAAGTCAAATAGAATTAACATATCTAATATTGTAAAATCCAGATGTTAGCCACCTGTTACCATGGAGTCTCAGTTATGGGTGACGTTGGCCTCTGCCTTGGCTCTACATGACTGAACTGGGTAACTTAAGTTTCTTAAGACATATGGTGACTGCCTTGATTAGGTGATTTAATAAGGCCCTTTAAACTCTGGTATGATAGCCAACCTTTATTTTACAGATTGAAGTTTGTAGTTATTGTATTTTTTTTACTTAATCAGTATTCAATCAGAGAACAAGATATCAAAATCAGCCAATGGATGTCTGCACTTTGCCCCTAAGGACTGGTTCCATGATGGAATCTCTGGGAGAAGATAATTGTCCCACGCTACCGTCTTGCCAGCAAGAACGATGTGGGACACTTAGGATCCTTCTGCAGAAAAGCTTTAATGCATCTTGAGAGAGAGAGAGCATAAGCTTACAAAGCTGAGACCCAGAATGAGGGGAACCCGTCCCTTATATAGGAAACAGTCCTCACTTTGGACGTGCCACTCTTGGATTGGTCCCGCTGCCCATCAACCCAGATGACGCCTCGGGAGTAGGCAGGGACAGCAGCAGTGGAAAGTTATTAAAGGCATGTGCTACAACACCTTGAACTCACAGAGATCTGTCTCTGCCTCCCAGGCATAGGGATTAAAGGCGTGTACTACCACACCTTGAGGTCACAGAGGTCAATCTGCCTCTGCCCCTTGAAGTCAGAGGTTAATCTACCTCTGCCTCCCTTGTGTTGGGATTAAAGGTGTGTACTGCCACACCCTGAAGTCACAGAGGTCAACTACCTCTGCCCCTTAAAGTAATGGAGAATGTGGTTGCGGCCCTCCACAGATAATGTTAGTCTTGTTTTGCTTGTGGAGTACCTGAGCCCTGCCCCCAGGGGCCGTGGACGATGTAAAGCGAAAGGGAAGTGTGTGACCCGCGCCGTGGCCCCTTCCAGCATTCACCAGGCCCTTGAGTACCGCCATAGCTCCTTCTTGCGTGTGCCCCTGCCGTGGTTGTCTCCTGGCCTGGGCGCAGGAGACATCAGTTCCTCACCAGCCCTCGCCCTCATACTTCCTCATCCCACAGAAGCCTGTGTGCTGAGTGTGCTGAGCCTGGATCTTCAAGCCGTGTGTCCTTCACCACCTACCGGGTAACTTGAGAACTTCCTATGTACCCTGTTGAGTGGTTACTTGAACACGGGTGAAAGAAGCTTCATGTTTGAATAGTACTCACTGGCACACATGCCTCTTTCACATGATTGATAGCTACTGATTGTTTAACTGTGAATGTGTGAAATACCCTTCTGATATGAACTGGTTGTGCATGGCTCCCCCTGTGGAAGACAAGCAGCTGATTCTAATCAAGTATCTTTCTCTTGTTGACTCAACACTTCCACACCACTTTAAACACTTTACTCGTGACATTTTCCATCACAAAATGCGGCAAGGTCTGTGTATCTCAGACCTTGAGAAACACTTGTGCTTCGCAGCCCTGGAGGCCGCTGGTCCAGGTCCCATTGTCTGCAGGTGTCTGGTCTCTGATGAGGATGCTCCGTGGCCTGTAGATCGCTGCCTTCTTACCATTTTCTTACTTCTGTGTGCCTCTGTGCTTTCTTATTCTTGTAAGGACATCAGTCATGCTGGATTAGGACCCACCTTTATGGCTTCATTTAACCTTATTTAATTCTGCTTCTCAAAGACCTGTTACAAAATGTAGTCATATTGAGGATCAATACTCCACCCTGTGTTTTTGAGGGTCATAATTTAGTCTAAAGGGCTGTTCATTTGACACTGAGCCACAGAGCACCAGTTGGTACCTGATACCCCATGTGACCTCTCTGGCACTCACATCTCACTTCCCAACGAGGTGCATCTTTTCATAGCCGGGACAGGTTGAAGTCATCCTTAATGTGGTAGCTGGTTACCCAAGGGATGAGTTTTCTGCCTTCTATCTCCCAGCATGCATCTTTCTCATACTCTGGTGGTTTTTAACTTTTACAAGGGAATTGGACATAGGGACATGGTCTTTTATTATTAATAAGTGCTTCTTTTGATGTGCCATGATTCACTTAAACATGTTAGCAAATTGTTTTTAAAATGAGGTAATTTGATAAGCATTTTTTAAACTGGGGCCATCACAGTCACAGACCAGCCTCAGACTCTAATTAATCTCTCTCTCTCTCTCTCTCTCTCTCTCTCTCTCTCTCTCTCTCTCTCTCTGTGTGTGTGTGTGTGTGTGTGTGTGTGTGTGTGTGTGTGCGACAGAATCACAAGAAGTGGCCAGATAAGTAGAAAGACTGCTAACTGGTTTATTTGGAGGTAACCCCGTCATGGGTGGAGGAATATCTGTATATAGTCTTAATGAATTGTCCCCTAGGTGGGGTCATTCCTTTGAATGACCCGTTTTATATGTCATCTATTTCGTCTTGGTCAGGTGGATGTACCACAGTTTTGGACTCTTCCTCACCTTTGGACTCTTCCACAAATCTGTCACAATAGACTTGAATCTATTCTGAGCAGAAGTAAAATTTTGATGTTTAATTATGTATTCATTGTCACAGGGCACATCCTCTATCTAGCCTCTGCCAAATCCCTCTGTCTACTAGTTTTACTGGTACTTGTAATCGGGCTTTGACCACCTTCTATGGGTGGGGGGGCTGTTATTAAAGCCTTCAGTTTGGGGGGAGGAAATGTGAGTGTATCTAGCTGTGGGTTATAGGCTTTAGCAAGTTCTACCTTCCTTATACTAACTGAAACTCCCAACATCCACTTGCAAGAGTTAGTATTGAGTGTCTATGAGTGTAGCATTCTATTGGTACTAGGGTGTGTGTCTTGCAATCCCAGTTATGAGTGTGGCATTCTATCTGTATTAGGGTATGTACCATGCAATCCCAGCTTGGATTTCTTGGTGGAAGGCCACACATCCAAGAGTTGAGGAACATCACCTGTCTTGATATGGTTTTAAGAAGTAGGTTACCAGCTGGGTAGGTAAGGAAGGGGGGTTATCTGGAAAAAGTTAGGAAAGGGGTAAATATGACCAAATATATTCTACAAAATTCTCAAAGAACTAATTTTTAAAATGAGGGGAGCAAAGGGTTTCTCTGGAAGCTAGAAAGTATATACTTTACTACACCAATTCATCCCTTAACACAGTTATCTTTATATGTTGGTAGAGCATATTTAAAATGTTGATTAGCATGTGCCTGGATGCTGGGAGCGTCTTCTGAAAGATCATTTAGAAGGGCTGTCATGATTTAGAACAAAGGAGAGTGTGGGCGATCCTCCTGGCTGTTGTCAGCATGCACCAGGATAATGATCATTGGATAAAACGTAAGTGAATGTATGCATTTAGACACATGCACACATATGTCTGCTTCTGGTACAAGTGTGCAGCTTGGAGGGAGCAGTGTCTGCTTCTAGTGTCTGATAGTGTGACTCAGCTTTGTCTGTGTCTGTGAGTTCTTCCAATCCTGAGCTTGTCTTACCGAGGAGACCTGTCTGCTTGGAAGCTACACTGCAGTAGAAGCACTCTGTTTGCTATATGGCTGGGCATCCTTAACTGAAACCACTTGCCCCAGGGGACCAAGTTCAACATGTCTCGCTTTTCCTGCCAGCGTCTCTGTTCAGATTACATAGTCACTAGACTGTATTAGGACATGGCAGAAATACAGATGTATGTGTTTGCACGGGATGGAATTCTATCAGCCCTTTGGAGATGTGGAACCAACATCTAGTTTAGAACTATATAGAGACCAACAAAACTTGTGGCTGTGGCTAACTGCCTTTGGGATTATAAAGCAAGAGGGCTGAAGAACCCAAAGAAGCTCAGCACACAGGATGTCCAGCTGGGGACCTGACGCACACGCCTGGACGTTGACTGCAGAGCAGCAGCACCGTTACCTTAAAGGTGTGTGTGTGTGTGAGTGTGTGTGTGAGAGTGTGTGTGAGTGTGCATGGGTTAGTGTGCATGTGTGTATGTGTGTGAGTGTGTGTGTGTGAATGTGTATGTGAGTGGGTGTGTGAGAGTGTGAGTGTGTGTGTCCATGTGCATGTGTGTGAGTGTGTGTGTCAATGTGCATGTGTGTGTGAGAGTGTGTGTAAGAGAGAGTGAGTGTGTGAGTGTGTCTGTGAGTGTGTGTGTTTCAGTTTTGGAGATTATAATATAATTACATAATTTCCATCTTTTCTTTCCTCCCTCATCCCCCTTCTTTTCATGGCCTCTCTTCATTAATTGTTGTTGCATGCCTATACGAGGAAGTGTATTCCTAAAGACGTAAATACAAGCTGTTCATTCTGTATGATGTTGCCTGGGGGGTTGGTCTTGAAAGATAAGAATTGAGAAATTGAGCTCAGTACTAGAGGCATGCACACATTCATTGCCTCTGTTCTTGACTGCCGACATGATGAACTGCTTCAAGTTCTTGTCTTGGCTTCCTCACACTGATGATTTATGGAACTATAAGTCAAACAAACCCTTTCTCAATTGGCGAGGGAGTTTTATCACAGTGACAAAAACAAGGTCAGGATGGCAGTAATGGGTGAACAATTAATGAATGAATTTATTACCACTGAACTGTACACTGAGAAATGGTTAATTCATTAAGCTCTGTGTTGTGTTTAGTTGGCCATGATGGAGTTTATATTTGTTCTGATTTTTTGGTGAACCAACAAAGAGAGAAGTTGTAAATTTGCTTTTTCTTTTTTTTTTTTTTAAGACAGCTTCACTTGGAGAACAATTCCCAGGTAGAGGGAAGTTCTTCCTCTCTGGAAGGAGGAATGGGACTCTAGCTGGGGATGCAGACAGTATGAGAAGGGGGAAGGGCGGCACCTTCACAGGCTGGAAGGCAGAGGAGAGGAGAACCAGGGCAAAGAGAGGAAGGGCACAGCATGAAATGGTGCCCGGGATGAAGAAGAATCTTTTTACTGTCTTGAAGTTTTCTTTTTGGTTGTCAAGCCGTGCTGTGTGGCATCAGAAAACAGGGCTCAGTTAGAGCGACCACGCGACTCGCAGGTGTTTGTGGACTGTGGGTAGTCCACACTGCATCTAGCAATAAAACCACCACTTTAGTCAAGCCAGGAGTGTATTTTCTCTGCAGCTGCTCAGCCATTGGGCTCTTGGAAGAAAGAGTTGAGGTCAGCCACCAAGGATCTTGTGGTGCTAGGGACTGCCCACAGGCTCAGCTTTGGGTGGCCTTCGAGTCTCAGAGCTGCAACTTAAGGGAGAATGTTTATAGCTTGCATCGGATATAGACAGTTTATCAGGCTCCCTTGGGCACTGTGAGTTTATAAATTGAAGAACCCTCAACCCCCTCTTGTGAAATTGAAAGTTGGCAGTGAATTTTTAACCTCCACTTCTTCATATATATGATGTAAGAAATCAGAGTACTTTGGGAGGGCCAAAGATGGTTCAGCCAAAGCAGTGGTTCTCAACCTTTCTAAATCTGCAATCCTTTAATAGAGCTCCTCATGGTGTGGTGACCCCCAACCATAGAATTATTTCATTGCTACTTCAAAACTGTAATTTCGCTGCTGTTATGAATTGTAATGTAATTATCTGGTTTGCAGGATATCTGATACTCAACCCTGTGTCAGGGTCATTTGACCCCCAGGTTAAGAACTGTTGGACTAAGGAAACTTTCTGTTTTCCTGTTGAGCAGAGGCTAATCCTTGGCCCAGTCTTCAGGACTTCAGTTCGAGTGTCTCTGGTGGGATTGGTTATGGGTGGTTGTGATCAAAATGTTATCACAAGCAGGAATATATGTCATGGTTAAGAAAGAGCTGAGCCATGGTTAGGGAAGGGACTGGCCATGGTTAGGGAAGCATTGAGCCATGATTGGTTAAGAGTGGAATGAATCATAATTAGGACCTGACACACGGTCCAGGGTATCATGGTAAATATTGTTAGCTGATATACACAGGATCGTCCCCCTGGGGAGATTAAGTTTCTCAGTCTTCCTGGCAAGAACCAACAATAGCCTTCTGTCCAGTGGAATGAGATTGGAAGTGACATATGGTATTTTGAGGGTTTTGCCCTTACAAACCTCCTTGGCGATCTTGCTTCATTGGTCATCCTGAGGTCATCCAAGGAACTGGCAGCTGTAGTCCCCGAAATTCTGGGTGTTTCGGGAGTGAGAAGAGTGTGGGGACACTGAGATTGGGGTTCTGTCTGGCAGCTCTTAGCTCCCATGTTTAGAAATGAGGAAGTTGGAATTTCCCTAAGATTCTCTGGTTTTCGGGCATTGAGATCTACAGACCCTGAAAACTTTGGCAGGTGACTTCCCTCCCCCCAGAGGTGCAGGACTTGTGTGAGTTTAGAGGATGGAGACAAAGTGGCCTTGCCCCTAAGAGGAGGTAAAGCCAACTCCCTCTCTTCCATCACCTTGAGTATCTCAGGTAATGCAAAGGAAACAAAGAGAAATTTGAGGTGTACATGACATTTCTTGGAGAACTCAGTGATGAGTAACTCAGAGGGGTTCTTAGGACCTGGGCTTCTGAGCTGCTCAGTAAACGGACAGTACCATGTTTAAAGTAACAAACCAAAGGGCAAGATTTTGCATTTCTAGACTAACCAACTGTGGGGTGATAGATGTGGAGGAACTAATTTTGCTTTGCCATCCAGGGACTGGCAGAGGCCTAGAGTTGTCCCCGGTGACCAACCGTGGTCCTTCCACAATGCTTGGCGGGTCAAGAAGCCTGGGGGTTCCTTCGATGTCAAGCATGGACCGGATGCTGGTTCCGTGGCTCCAGAGTCACTCTGTATGGCTCTTCCCCCCAGTATTGAAGAGAGGCCCCTTCAGTGCTTGTTCATTACACACCCTGTGTCTCCTGTATGGAATGTCTTTCTCTGACAACACGCCTGAAGAAGTAAATTACAAAGGAGGAGAAGCAGTCAGTTGTGGTGGTACGCACCCATAATCCTAGCACTCAGGGTCCTAAATTCTAAGTCAGTCTAGGTTCTAGACCAGCCTGAGCTATACAGCAAGATTTTGTCTGAAACAGTTTTAAAAAAAAATTGAGAGGTGAAAAGTTGCATAACTCACAATTTCAAGGCTTGAGTCTGTGGTTGGCGGAGTCATTGATTTGGGGCCTGTGGGCATCATGGTGGGGAACACGTGCTGGAGAAAAGCTGCTTATTGTACAGTGAGAAAACAGAGAGAGGACCAGGCCCTGTTCCCAGTATCCTCTCAGGCTCTAATCCCCAATTTCCATCCTGCAAAGGTTCCACCATTCCCAATAGCATCACAGGCTCATGGTCAAGCTTCTAAAGCAGCATTTCGGAGATCCAAACTGGGAGAAGCATCAACACAGTTCACCATATTACATGCTGGGGAATGAATGGTGGTAAGAGCCAAGTCTGCTTTAATTTGTCCTTGGGAGGCTGAAGAACTTTGCTCCAGCAGAGCCATCTCCCTAGCTGTCTTAGTCCCTGTTGTATTGCTATGAAGACGCGGCATGACCAAGGCAGCTCTTATAAAAAGGAAACATTTAATTAGAGGCTTGCTTACAGTTTTGGAGGTTTAGTCCGTGTTCATCATGGTGGCACTCATGGTGCTGGAACAGTAGCTGAGAGCTGCACTCTGAGCCCCAGGTCAAGGGCGAGAACCGGGCCTAGTACCAGCTTTTGAAACCCTAAAGCCCACCCCCCAGTGGCATACTTCCTCCAATGAGGCCGCACTTACTCCAAGAAGCCACACCTCTCAATCCTTCAGAAATGGTGTCACTCCCTGATGACTAAACATTCAAATATATAAGCCATGGGGGCCATTCCTATTCAAACTACCACACTTGTCCCCAGTAATCTTTACAACTAAGGCTTTATGTTGTTAGCGCATGGGAAAACCGAGACACCAAAAGGATACACGTTTCATGTAAAATGATCTCACTCATGAGAGACAAAGCTGGGATGGGCTAATTCACTGTGATGCCTGGGGGGTTTAATTCTTAGTCCATCCTGTTAATCCTGTACCCATTCATTTCTTATTTTGTTAAGTTGGCCATTACCATATTACTATTTTCCCCTGTATTTTATTCCTTTCTATAACTTCATAACATGAATTATTTTTCAGATTGATTCTTGTCCTTGTAGGTATTCTGCTTCTTCACGTTCATAGTTTGGGTGCCTGCCAGGTACCACTCTAGCCCTGGGAATGCCAATGCACAAAACAGCTAAAGGCTCCCATTCTCGTGGGACTTATAGTGGGGAGAAAATGGACTTCTGTGATGATTAGTGAGTATGTTAGCTTTCCATTACTATTACAAACACCTGCAATAGCATAATGTGCTTTGCTCATGTGTGTGGGGGTGGGGGGTACCTGCAAAAGCAAGAAGGCATTAGATCGCTTAAACGGGAGTTACAGATGGTTGTGAGATGGTGTGGGTACTGGGAACCAAACCCATGTCCTCTGTATGAGCAGCAAGTGCACCTGTTTGCTGAGCCATCTCTCCCGCACCAGAGAAAAGTCGCTTTTACTCATAAATTTAGAAGTTTCCATTGATGTTTAATTGGCCCAGTTGGGAAGCTAGAATATCATGGTGACGTTCATGGTGAGGCAAAACCCCTCACTGGAGCAAGAGAGAGAAAATGCATGGTTTGGAGATGGGGGGAGAGCACCCGCAAGAGTGCTTACACATTCAAGCAGAAGGAAACCAGGGTCTCACATCCCTTGAAGGGCATACTCTGAGTGATCTAAAGCACTCCACATTTCTCAAAGGTTATGCCACCTCCTAGTAGTGTCAAGCTGGGACCAAGCCTTTATCATGTGGACATTATAGGACAGTCAGCCCCAAAATGGAGCCATGAGCAGACTGTAGAATGTGGGCAGGTAAACGGTAAAGGAACAGGGACAGACAACCGATGGAGCCTTGAAATTTTAGTTGGCATGGCCCAAGGCTTTACAAAGAGGGAACAGTTTGGCAAGCATTTGTAACACCTTTGGCTCGCCAGGGCTTCTGGAAGTCCTGCGTTGTCAACCTAGTATTCTCTGTGAAGGGTCTGCACAGTGGGCCTCCTGGGTGGGCACAGTCGGACTCTCTGGTCCCACTCCACCTTTGCTGCTTAAGTAGAAGCAAGAAGATCCCCAAGAGCTCAGGATCCCACTGGCTGCAGCAGAGTGGGTTAGCCCCTGGCAGGGTCGTGCCACAGGCTGTGGCTCCAAACCACACCTTCCCCCATCCTGCCTCTCCTGAAGACCAACACTGGGCTCATGGAAAATCTGATGAGGTGGTAGGACACTGGGGCAAGGCCATTCCTTGGATGTGAGTCAATATCCCAATGAGCGTGGACATCCACAGTCCCGGGGGGCGGGTTGGTTACCATCTCTAATCCGGGTCAGCTGTGAGAGAGCTGCAGCCTCAACCGGGAACACGTGGGAAGGCACTCGGAAACGCACGTCATCGCCGCCTTCTAGAAAAGGGTAAATGGTTTAAGACATGCACACAAGGCGTAATGAAATAACAGTAAACAGTGAGCAGGCTACTCTAGTATCAGACTGTCCGTGCCAGGTTTGTTTTAAATTAACAAACTCCCACAAAGAAATAAAGGACCCTCAGTTAGAATAACAGAACACAGGGGCTCTCAAAGTGTTGTCCCCAAATCAGCAGCTTTAATGCCAACAGTGCCACTCAGATCCCTCAAATCTGGTGCCTGCAGGTAGGGCCCAGCACTCTACTTTAAGGAGCCCTAGGGTGGCTCACATGCTTGTTAATCTCAGAAGCAAATCTTACCCCCCAAGAAAGATAACATGGATCTACTATACAAGACAATACAAATCTACCTATGCCAGAACCAGGCTCCTTGTCACAGATGTGCCACCAACTGTTGACTACGGTGACCTGATCTCAGTGTTCCTTGTTCCCCAGGTGTTGGAGCCTTTGGGATGGTGGAGAACGAAACTCCTTGGAGCTAATGACTCTAAAAGGGGGCCACCTTAGGCTCTAGCGTCGGCAAAAATCTGTAAAGTTCTGGGAATTCCCAGTTCTTCCTCCAACTCTTATGCATTAGAATCCCTGAAGCCAGGGGTGGATCAGCATGCCATGCATTCACAAGCCCTCTAGCGACTATCTAGTCAACTTTCATAGATACTGGTCTAAATCTTGGTGACAAAATCAGACTCTCCCCGAGCCCATTGGGGTAAGGGGACGGCGAAGAAGGGATGATGTACCCACAAGGACCTGCGCTTGCATACTTAGGAAAAATCAGATGCTGACAACTTCATGTAAAACTTCCAATGACCGACTGGGGTTATCTCTCAGCCTGTGTGAAGTGTCTGGACTTGATTCCTGGCCTGGCAAAACACAAAACAGTCAAACACACACACACACACACACACACACACACACACGTACACGTACACAAAAACCTGAAGAGGAACACTGGGAAGCCCCTAGTGCCCCTACCCTTCTTCCCAGTACAGGCCCTAGGTGTGGTTTTTCTGGCAGTTGGAATCAGCTCATGTCTCAGCAGACATCAGAAGCCATAGCCAAACGCTCTCCTCACACCTCGGTTGGCCGCCTCTTCTCAGGTTGCTGCGGCAGGAGGCATGGGCAAGCGCCGTTGTGTATAGCACAAGGCTGTCTTTCACAGCATCCAGGGTGTTATTCTGTGTAAATGATCCGCTGTTTTTACTGTCGCCAGGACAAAAATCAGTTGCTTCTTCCCTCGTGTTCCTGCCGCTCGCCTCTCGTTCGGTTTCATAATATTCCAGATATTTTTCTATTGTCTCCTGTACCCCATGGTTACAAAATCAAACAGGACAAAACAGCTGTGCAAAGGCGGTGGAGGGGGTGGGATTCAGGAGCAGCCACGATGGCTCATCTCTCTCCTTGGCTCAGCCGCTGATTAAATGGAAGGCTTCCCAGAGAGGCAACAGCAGCAGAGCGGCTGGGGAGCCCCTGGGGTCAGCCTCACAGGCCGGTTGCAGGGGTTCCTGAGCCATAGAGCTCTGAATGCCAAGATAAACATGAGTTTCGAGATAAAGTCCCAACCCTAAGAGGTTTTCATCTTGGAAAAGGAACCTGTCAGACAGTCAGTGTGTTGGAGAAGGAAGCATGTTTGCCCACGCCCAGCTCTGCAAGCACTGTGACAGCTGGTGGGAGCTAGGGATGCAGGGGTTAGGGATAGGGCTAAGGGAACAGGAAGGAGTGGAAGGAGGTGCCTCCAGGGACAAGCTGGTTCCTCCCTTTACCACTGTGAGACCTCGGGCTTAAGGCTTTTTTCCTTCCCGAGTTTAACCGTGATGGGCACAGCAGACAAAGCGGTGGCGTGGAGCGCGAAACCAATAGCCAGCATTTGTCACGGTGCCCGCCTACCTTGCAGTAAAGGGTGTGTGAGTTTTATTAACCACTTAGTGTCTGGGAGTATGGCTCAGTGTTGCAGGCATGTCTGCTGTGCCCAAGGCCCTTGTTCTGATCCTATCCCCAGTCCTACAAAAGCAAAGCTTCGTAGTTAACCAGACGTTCTATTGGCTTTATTTCTAAAGATGCCCGATAAACACTTGGAATCTACCACCAGTTCCTGCCTGCTGTAACTGTTGTCAGTATTGGTGTGGTCAGGGCCTGCGCCCTGGCAACCCTCTCAAGCTCGGTGTAGCCACCTATCCTCAGTAAAGCCAATTAAACAGCAAGCAATAGTGAAAAGCAGAAGGGGGAGGCACACTGGAAAGAAGTGACCATTTTCTGGGTCCTGACATGAGGTTTACAGAAAGCTAGAGGGATACATAACTGAACAGCCCTGTCTGGTATGTAGGCCTGCCCACTACTGCCCACATTGCCTCAGCTCCAGGCCCTGCTGCGAAGTAGGCTGAGAAGCGGTCAGAACTCCGGGAGAGCTCTTTCCCAGAGACGAGTTCCTTCTCTGGCTGCACTAGCATGAGATTTCCGGAGCCGTTACAGTTTCTTGGAGATCACTGTTTAGTCGTCTTATGTCCAAAAGGAAGGACCCAGCTGTCTTGTCAGAGTATCTTCATTCCTGGCGGGCTGGGCACATAACTTCAGAATCGCTTACTATGGCTCCCTTTAGCTATGTCCACCATTTTCTCTGGTCCAAGCTGCATTGGGCTCACCTGCCAGGTCTCTTCACCCCGTACAGCCTTCTCATCAGTGTGTATGGAAGTTAGAGAGTGACTTCTAAAGTCTAAATCTGGGGACTGGAGAGGTGGCTCCAAAGTTAAGAACACCACTCCTCCAAAGCACCCGACTTCATTCCCTATCACCCACATTGATCAGTTACAACCACCTATAACTCCAGCAGGAGGGGCTATAACACCCTCTTCTGGCCTCCTCAGATACACATGGCATACACTTACACACACACACACACACACACACCCCACACACTAAAACTTAAAACATCGAAATCAAGTAACACAAGTTCCTGGCTCAAGTCCCCCGATAGGTTTCTGTCATATTTAGGTAGGATCCCAGAGCCCATGGCTCCTTCACTAACTTTAATTCCTGCCCCATGAACCTTGGACCACCTGCACCAGCCACACTGACACTCCCCTTAGCCCCCTTGAGTCCATCTTCATCTTGTACCTTACTGTTGCTGCTCCAGGTCTGGCATGCTCTTCCCCTGACATCTCTGTGGCTCATTCATTCCCCGCCTTGGGTCTCTATTCAGAGAGCCTCCAACAAGCGAGACAGAAGCAGTCTTTCTACTTTACAGGGACCATCACCCTTATCTGTTTATCTCTGTGACGAGCAGGCAAGCCTCACAGAACCTTCTGTGCTTCAGCAACAAGCACACGAGAGAAGCTGCTGTTTGTTGAACAGATACCTTTGGCTATTGATCTTGTTCTGTCCTTAACTGTCCCAAAGTATTAAAGTCTCGGTTCTCAGCCTGTGGCCCTGTCGGGAGTTGGAAGAACCTTAAGAACATGGGTTCAATGGAGGAAGGCTAGTTTATTGAGGTAGTACCCTTGAGGGGGATATTTGGCTCCTGGCCCTATCGTCTCTTCTTGTATCCTCTCTGCCATTAGGTGAGTGGGTCTCCTTAGCCATATTGTCCCATAAATCTGTCCTGTGCTTTCCCAGGTCCAAAGCAACAGGGGAAGCTGATTAACACATACGTTTCCGCGACAATGATGTTGGGACAGTGCCAGTCTGGTTACCTTCTAGGGACTTTGCAGTTCCTTTTATTAATCCCTGATTTATTGTTTTACAAAAGGAAGAAGACAATAACTTCCTGAGGAATTTCTTGGTACCATTTTATATGATAAGTAAATAAACTTCAGATTTAATTGGTATTTATCAAATCTTTGATCCCATCTTTGCTGTTTAACGTAGTCAATTTGGCAGGATCTAGAGTTACCTTAGAGACAAGCCTCTGGCCAGTCCTTGAGGGGTTCTGTAGCTTAAGTTAGCCTGCGGGGCATGGCTATTAGATGTGAATTAGGTTTACGGAGAAGGGAAGATCTGCCTTCTGTGGGCAGCACCATCCCTTGGGCTGCCGTCTTGGGAGACGAAATAAAATGGTGAACGTCACTGCCCATGAGCAGTCATCTCCTCCTGCTCTCTGAGTGTGGATACCATGAGAGCAGCCCAGCCTACCTTTCCTGCCTGCTGCCATGGCTTCCCTCCCCCATGGAGCTCACCAAGAACTGCAAGCCAGAGTAACCACCCCCCTCAGAAACTGCTTCTCATCAAGTTTGGTCACAGGGACGAGAACAGTAATCTAAACGCCTTCCCTTTGAAAACCAAAATCAGATAGTGAGTCACCAGGGTTAAAGATGTGCCCTTCTGTTGGTGAGCGAGACATGGGTGGTCGTCTGGTCTGAGACCTTGAGCAGTTAATACACACAACAGTTCTTAAAATACGCCTGAGTCAGTGTCTTCTCCACACCATGGACTGAATGAGGACTTAGTGGGGGTCAGACACGAACGCTCTGTCTGTGTGGATTTATGGGTCAGGTCATTCCACTTACAAAGGAAACAGGCTTGTGTTGGGGATGGGTGATTTGTACAGTTCACCTGGAGGAACTGAACAGGGGCACGTCATGGCTCCCTGGGGTGAAGCCTTCAGTTTGAAGAAACAGCAGGAAAGGTAGAAGTATATTTTGATTGAGGAAACCTGACTTGCTGGAAGATGTATAGCCCCTCTGTGTGACTTAGTATTAGCCCGACAATACGTGAGTGCATGTCCCAAGCCACTTTTACCACTCAGCCGTTCGGAGCCTGGGTCCACACCAGGCTGTTAGCCTCATTTCACCCTGGGGAAAGGAATGAGACTTAAAGTGTGGAAGTGGCCACAGAGTAGCCAACGTCTTCCGTGACTCCCTCAGTCGGCAGTGATCCTAACGAGACGGATTGCTTTCTACAACCAGGCCATTTTTTGTTGGCTCTCCTGAGGAAGTTCCATATTCTGAGATTCATAATCAATCCGGAGTGCCATGGACCAGGTGCTCCAGCCCCACCCAGTTCTTCTATCTGTACGGTTTTGAACATAAAGCCTCTTCATTACTTCATCTGTGGACTCGCAAAACAATTCTAGTGAGGCTAAGGCTCATCCCCATTCATTTTGTGAATCTAGTAAATTGTGGAATAAGCCTAATTTCTAAGTAAAATGAAGGTCCAGGAATTAGGTAGGGGGATAGAGAAAAAGAAGGGTGCCAGGTTTATTTTGTGTCTGTTCAGCCCCAGTTGGGTTCAAAGGGAGAAAAATGAGGAGTCCTAACTAGAGATCATTCAGCTCTCCCCAGGATGGCTGTAGAATGACGTAACCCCATCAGAGAGGAATGTGAGGCCAGGAAGCGTGCCTGCATGGTTCAGAAGGAAGCAGACAATAGAAGACCCTTTTGGACAAGATTCCGTGAGTTCAGGAAGAGCCCAGAGTTGGCCAGCCAAGCAAGTCATGCAGAACTAACTGCCTGCCTCCAGCCCTAAGACAGCCTTGAGCATGCTGGGAAATGACAGTGTGACATCAGTCTCTTTGAATCCCATGAGGACATCAGCTCACACAGCCCGTGCAAAAGTGGCCTGCCCACAGGTGGTAGAGGAGACGGGCACCACCGCCAACAGGAATTGGCCAGATCCTCCTCCCTTATCCCTGCTGGACCTGGCGTCTGAGAAGTGCCTGGTGTTCCTATGAGAAGGAGATCATTGTCTGGGGAGTTCCAGTGACTGCTGGTTTATGAAATAAGAGCCATAGGCACACAGGGAAGTGCCTTTAATGAAATAAGAATAAGCCGAAGAGTGAGACAGGGGGTTGACTGCCAAGAGGCATCTCGCTGAAGCCTCAATTAAACTTTCCACTGGATTATCTGATGATAAGTAGATGTGCCTTGAGGATTTCATTGTCTTTGATAAATGGCACGCGTTCAAACTCAAAGCAACACAGGCCATAGCACGACACAGCCCGGGAATTAACGAGGCACACCACCGCTCGATCCACGGCGCTTTAATTACCGCAATGGAAGTGTTTGTTTTAAAGACTGTTTTGGGTTATTTGTGCCCTGGGATGTGCGGGTGGGTGTTCAGTCTGCATTCCACTGGGAAGGGTTTCCAACAGCACGATTCCTTTTGGTGCCAACCGTGTTTTCAGTGCCCGGAGGAAAGGATGGCTGCCATCCAAGACCTACCTTGCTATGTTACTAATCCTTCCCTTCCTCCCTCGTGGACCATTCTTGTCTTCTGACTGCTGGGAGACAGAGTGATGGCTTCCTAATTGGGTCCCCAGGCAGAGTCGTGGCACCTGTGTCTGGGGGTGTTTGATATAAACAGTAGTCTTTGCGTCTCAGGGCAAGATGAATTTCTGTGCTTGTGCGTGTGTGGGTGTGTAACCATTTTTGAGCATATCGTTCTTCCAAGCATTTTATTTACCCACGAGGCAACTTCATGAAAGCAATAAGATGCAGCCTTTAAAACACAGTCGTCACCTCTTCACCCCGCTCCCACCACCATTTTAAGCATTTGCTGAGCCATTGAACTGCAGGCAGTATTAAATTCTAGTCATTTCTCTCTAGCGCAGCCTAAGAGCTGGATGCTGTGGAAACGTCCTGACCAGTTAGACTCTGTTATCTTTGGGGAACCTTGTGGCCAGCATGCTGTTGTTGTTTGAAAACCATTCCAGTCGCAACCTATTCCCTCCCCTGCTTGGTCTCTGGAGGCATCGCAGGCCTCAGATGCCTCCCTCTAGTGGGTTTGGCACTGGCCTCTGGGCCTTCCTGTCATAGACTCCCCTCGAACTCTGTAACAGCATCTGAAGAAAGTTACACGTGAGGATCTGTTAGTGCTTAGCCTGCCCCATCTCCAAACACTTATCTAATACATTGTAGAGAAACCTAAAACTTACCTTAAGGACCCTGTGAAGAAAAGGTATCCTGAGGGTGGCCTCCATGGACAGTCCCTGGCACGCATTTGTGTTCTCCAACTATTTTCGAAGTTACATGCTCTATTTATTCCTGAGATTATGCAAGCTTGGCCAGGAAGTTTCTAGAACTTCAGCCTTGGCTAGATGGTTGGATGTGGAGCAGAATGAGTTGAAACTGACAGATACTGTGCCAGCCTGTCTGCTTGAGCCTGGGAGGGAGGCTGGCACAGTTGCCTTTTCTCCACATTGGTTATTTCAGATGGCTTCGGGCAGCACTCGGGTGCTGGCTAAGAAAGCAGCTATTGCCTCTCATCAGAGGGCAGTGTCCACTCTCATTGGTGCTTAGTACTCCACCACCAGGAGGGTCCTTGGCTTTGCTGTTGGCTGTATGTGAGTGGGTAAGTGTGTGTGTGTGTGTGTGTGTGTGTGTGTGTGTGTGTGTATGTGTGTGTGTGCGTGCATGTTTACAAATGCATATGTCAGTATGTGTGTGCGCCTAAATGTGCATGTGAGTGTGTGATGTGTGTGTGTCATGCACATGCATGAACTCACCTTGGGTGTTGTTCAGGAACTGTCTGTGTTGTTTATTTTTGAAACGGGGTCTTTCACTGGCCTGGAGCTCACAGAGTGGGTTAAGCTAGCTGGCCGGCCAATGAACATGAGGGATTTGTGCGTCTTTAACTCTCAGCACTCAGGTAGCAAACTCACATCTCCGTACCTAGCCTTCTTGCGTAGGCTCTGAGGATCTAACTGGGTTCCTCGTACTTGCAGTACAGGCACCACAACAGCTGAGCTGTCTCCCCGTCCCTGTCCAGTCTTCAAAGAAAGCCGTTTTCCCATGGTCAGGTGGACAGGTCATGGCGTCTGCTTTTCCCAAGGCTCTGCTGGTGTGTGCATGTTGCAGTGTGTGCGTGTTGTCAGTGTGTGTGTTGTCAGTGTGTGTTATCAGTGTCTGTGTATTGTCCGTGTGTGTGTTGTCCATGTGAACATGTCGGTGTGTATGTGTTGTCGGTGTGTATGTGTTTTCCATGTATATATGTTGTCAATGTGTATGTGTTGTCCATGTGTATGTTGTTGGTGTGTGTCGTCAGTGCATACAGGTTGTGTGAATATGTTGTCTGTGTGTGTTGTTTGTGTGTGTTGTCTTTGTGTGTGTGTGTTGTCAGTGTGTCCATG